GCCATCGGCACAAAAACGGAGAGTACTGCATCAATGTCGTTCCAACAGGCACCACCTGGGAGGCGACGGCCTCAACATCGATCTCCTTGCCCTCAGCGATCTGCTTCTTCATGATCTCATGCATGTGAAGCATGCTCTCTACTTCCATCACCGCCGTGAAAGCTGAGTTGGAGCTGTTCAATGCCTTTTCGGCCAGTGAGGGCAGCTGCGGAAAGGCAGACTCAGCCCGAGAGCTAATAACCAGCCAAGTCCACCCTTCCGAAAGCATCTCGTTGAGATGGCCATCTCTGCCCAAGGCCTCCCTGTTCAGCCGGCCTGTCTGGTCTGCGAGGGACTGCACGGGTGTCGGGCAACTGGAGAGGATGGCCTTCACAAACTGAGTTGTGTGGCCGCAGGACACCGACAAATACCTTTCTGCACCATGCACCGGCGCCAAGAGCCCGCAGGCTTGCTCCACCAACTTGCGGTTGAACTCCAACTGTTCAGCCAGTCGGCTGGGCTCGTGGCTGATTTCGATGCCTCATGCAGCAAAAACGAGCAGATAGACCGCTTTGCATGGACTAGTTGCAAACAACAAACTCAGAGCAGCCAAGCAACACACAGCTGAATGAAGGAATTTCATGTCGAAGCCGGATTTGACCAGGGATTCCCCTTTGAGGTGACAGCCATGTCCACTGACCCCTAGACCGCCGCGATTGAGGTTGTGGACGAGCATGCTGCTCGCCTGCAACTTCGCCCGCCATGCCAGTCCACCCTCGACCAGCTTGTCAGCTACTCGCTGCCACCGGCTAAGTAGCGGGAGGGATGTGTCATCGAGCAGAGCCTGCACGGCATTTTGCAGTTCGGGAGTGACATCCATGATGCTGCAGCGGAGGTGAAACTTTGCACGGTTGCTAAAGGCAGGAGAGAAGTGCTGTCTGTCTGTTTGTCAATGCTTTTGTGCTTGCGAAAGGTTCTGCATGGTCCAGGAGTACTGGAGCAGTCCTGTTGGAAGTGTACTCTATAGAAGTATACATAGTGCATGGCGAATGTCCTAACCTGCTGTTTTTCTCTCTGGCCCCGAACTTAAGGGCCCTACTGCCTTCCTGCAAGCCGTCGGCTCTGCAAAACTTCGAGAATGCACACATGCACAATCGCTTATACCAGCTGTGCCAGACTGTGCTGCTGCACTTGCGATCACAATTCTCCATGCAACAGCAGCAACAGATATGCAGGGTATACATCGACAGCCTTCAGGCTCGCACCTATACTAAACAGCCAGAAGGCTTGACTATAGATCATGTAACATGACAGCCAGATGGCTGCTCCTGAAATTGAGCCACCGGGATGTCGCAATTGGAAACAAGTCCGAATGCTTTGGCATGCCCTTGGATTTACAGCTCCATTAGTATCAACTTCCTGCATCCAACAACTCAATTCCTCGATCCGAAGCCTTGGAATTTCCTTGAGACATATTGCAAGCTGTGGGATTGTCAGATGCAACAGAAGGGCTTCTGTAATTCAAGAACAGCCGGATGGCTTTCATAAAATCAGAAATCGCCACGTTCGGCTACTGTAGAATCCACTGAGCATGACATGAAATCGTGTGTCCGAAACAATGCACAGGTAGTTAGCTAACTACTTAAATCCGGGTATGCTAACTAGTTAGTCGCCCTTCTATGACTTAGCTAAACAGTTGTTAACTTCGCCTAAACCATGAGTTAATCATTTGGCTAAATGTAGGTATGTACTTAGTTTCCTGGCTAGCCTGTAGTAGCACTTCAATGGATTATTCAAACAAATACACAACTTTCTTAATCAACATAAGTCTTAAAGTTGTTTAGCAATAGTTAAAACGACTTATATTCATTTACATATACTTAATAACAGGATATATCTTCTTGCTAAACAGATACAGCTCTTTATTAAATACATATATGTTTCATAAAGAACATAACCGCGAGCGTGGGTCCCAATTCACTGGTGTCGGCGTTATCGCCGTGGAGGGTATCTGTCAAAATTGGTCGGGTCGGCGACCCCGGCTGCAGAGCCAAATTGGACTGAGGTCGGCGGCCCTCAGTCAGAGTCCGAGGTGGCGCCGCTGGTAGAGGAGGAGCTGCCGGACGACGACACAGCTTCCGGCGCGTCCAGGTCCACCGGCGTGTCGGGGAAGCACCGGCGACACATTGAGGGGTTCGGCGGCCGGTCGTGCAACCGATAGAATTGGCGCACTCCGTATGGCCAGCCGCAGCGTGCCTGCCACTCGGCGCGCTCTGTCTCGGCCTCCTCCGCGGCGGGCTTATGCAGCAAGCGGGTCCGACAGTTCATGATGTAGTGTGTCGCCGTCGCCGCCGGTATCAAGGCTCGCTCCGCCGACACCGGCGCGGGCACAAAGTCGATGGCTGGCAGTTCGGCTGAGAAGTCAACGGCGGGCACGCCCGGAGCTGCCAGGGTACCGGTCTCCTCCGGCGCGGCTGTCTGCCCGTCCGGCGCGGCCGCTGATCCTGGCCCGGCCGTCTGGCTGGGATGTGCCTCCGTCGCGGCGTCACAAATCGCCTGAGCCCAATGTGTCTGCCCGAGGGCGGCCGGCGGGGGCCCCAGTACGGCATTCGCCTGTGTGCCGCCCGCCGCGAGCGCTTGGGCTGGAATGCCCGGCGCCACCGCCAGCGGCGCCTGCTGGGTGTATCTTTCAACGGCGGTACTTGACCACCGCCCGATCAGCTGGATGATCGCGACGGGGACGCCGCGTAGTGCCAAAAATGTCGCCCCGGCGACCCTGGCGGCGTGTCCCCCGAACACAAACCTCTTGTGTCCGGCGCTGTCGGTGTAGATCGTCTGCAGACCCGCGGCGGA